CCACGCGCGCGCTCGCCCGTGGCCGCCCGGCTCCGGCGGGGTCGCCCCGTGGGGAGCCGGCCGGCCGGGCGCCCGGGCAGGGCTGGGGCTCGCGGGAAGCTTCCTTTCTTCTGAGCCCCGCGCCTGCCGGGCCTGCGCCTCGCTCGCTGGGTGACGCTTGGCCCGGTCCTTCCAGCTTGCCGTTGGCTGCTGCGAGTTCTCACGGGTGGGCTCGGGCTTCGTACGGAGATACAAAAGTAAAACGGTCCTTTATCTTGTTTTTTTTTTTTTTTTTTTTTTTTTTTTTTTAAGTCTTTTTGGAATTTAAGTAAAAAGAAGTTAGAAAAATCACAGAAAATCTTGCTCCTATTTTTTTTTTTTTTTTTTTTTTTTTTTACCGATGACCTCCAGTCCCCGTGGCCAGACCCTGATTGCCTGTATTTCAGACACCCTATGGATAAAACAGAAGCACCGGGTACTCTTTTCACTCCCACTGGCACAAACATTTATAAGCAACCAGAAAGGCCATCAGAAAGAGGCAAAATGCCCGGTTGAAGCGGAATCCTCCGTGTCACTGCTGGCTGGGGGGGGGGGGGGGGCTCGCGCTAACCCCATCTCTGGACCCCTGTGTGGCTTCCCCCTGCCAGCTTTTCTTTTGAACCCTCTTTTGAGCTGACAGGGAGGAGCGCCCTTTTCCACGCGCAGAGTGATAGGTCGCCTGTGTTTGCACAAGTTCTCAAGACTGCTGGAGTTTTATGATAAACCCTGAAGCCGGGAGACTTTTTCCCAGGGGAAAACAATTGTCTGTGAGGTTTTCCCACTGATTTAAAACTGCAGAGCTGGTTCCCACCTAGCCCCTCCACCTCGGGTTGTTTTTAGGCCCTTTGAAACAAGGGTGGCAGCAAAATTAATCTTCCAGGCTTGAAAGGAAAACACTAGCCTTCCGGGGCCCCTTCCGGGGGTCAGGGTTTTGCTGCCTCGTGCTCTGCGGTGGAGAGAGCTGCCACCCTGGAACATTTGTACATAAAAACACCCTCACGGCTTCTGGGTTTCGCCAGGTCCTTAGCTGTCTGAGAGCCCGAATGGAGCAGAGGGGCCAGAAGGGTCCTGATAATCATCTCGCTCTTTCCCCCCAAGCCGTGGTGTCAGTGGACGGACGGCCTGTGAGACTCCAGCTCTGTGACACGGCAGGACAGGTCAGTATCAAGTTTCATGGCTCGGCCCGGGAAAGGAAGCAGCCTTTTAAAGGTTTCCAAACAACCTTTGCCGATTCCCTTAGTAACTGGGTCATTGTGAAGCCTGGAGGAGCAGGCAGGCCCACTCCTGCTCCTGGCCAGCTCCTCTGAGGGCAGTGGAAGGGAGAGAGGAGGCCGGTGGGCCAGTGAGGCAGGGTGTGCCTGTTCTGCGCAGTACCAAGGAGGTAGTGGTAGGGACTGCCCTTATCTTAGGACTTTGTGATACCTCTCACTTTCTGGATTTTGCTAAAGAAAGAAAGAGAGAGAGAAAGAAACCAAACCCTCAGTAATGGTTTGTAATCCTTTCTCAGAGGAAGCCCCTCATACTGTCTACTCCACTGACTCAAGGTGACTGAGCCCCATATTCAAAGGTTTGCTCAAGGAAAATCTGGAGCCTGTGTTCGCGATTGGCAGCCTCCAGTTCCCCATTTCTAGAGTGGAGACATGGTGGTCAGAGCCACCCTAACTTGAGCAGGGAAGGAAGGGCTACCCTCTTTGGCCATCCTGGTCTTGAGGACAGCGCACTAGAAGAGAAGGCCAGGAGTGATGCGGGAGGCATGGGCGTGGGGTCCCCGCAGTGTCCCCCAGAAGGCTTTGGGACCTGGTTGAACCTGCCCCTGATGTGTTCTAGCCGCTGTGGCGCTTGTGACAGTGAACTCGTCTCCCCACGATGTCTGGGGCTGGCAAAGAGTAGGAGGTAGGCGTGTCCCCTCCGTTTCCCGACAGTCCGTGCTTATGCAGGAACTGGAGCTCCTGTGTCCCCCGGTTCTCACCCAGGCCAGGATCATAGGTTACTCGCTACTAGAGAACAGCAAACTTGGGGCTCAGGATGGGCTTCTTCCTTAGACCTCAGGGAGACAGAAGTCTAGGCTGTCTTAATGGAACACGAGTCTCATGATAGCTGTAGCAATGGCGCTGACGTCAGCTGGAAAAGCTGTTCAGCACATTTGCTGAGTGGGAGGAGCCACACACCATCAGTATGTGTGGGAAGGAAACGGCAAAATCTGGGCATGGCTCTTCACCTTGTAATCCCAGCTCTCAGGAAACTGCAGCAGAAGGATGGCCACACGTTCAAAGCCAGTCCAGGCTATGTACTGAGTTCAAGGCCAATGTGGGCCTAAGAAACAACTCTGCCAGGCACGGTGGTACACGCCTATAATATTGGCGCTTGGGAGGTGAAGACAGGATCAGAAGTCCAAAGTCATTCACCGCTGAGTGCATTTGAGGCCAGCCTAGCCTATGTGAGACCCTGTCTTTTAAAAACATGCAAACAAAGAGAGAAAAAACAAACAACAACAAAAACAAAAAGAGACAGTGTTCCTGGGTCTTTCCTTTTTTTTTGCATGATGCCCACTGAGTTGTTTTATACAAATCGAGAGGGCTGGTTTCCCCGTCCATAGAACATGGGCAGAAATGTGTTGTTGCAGTAGGCACCCTGAGGACCAGAGAGAGGTCAGGACAGCTGAAGGATCCTGAGGCACAGAGGTCGTGGAGGCCAGCGAGGGGCTGCTGGGATGTTGGCTCAGGAATCACTGTGCTACCTCCGACGTCTCTGCCTGCCCCATGGCTTCTGAGGGAGGCGGGCTTTCCTCAGAAGGTGAATCCCGAGCTGGGGTCTGGCACACCTCGGGGTTCAGTGTGGTTTAGTGCGCAGAATGTGTGAGCCATCCGTGTGCATGCAGCCGTGGGCTAGGGGGCAACGGTGGCGTGGGCGTTAGGGGCGGGGCGGGATGGAGGAGGAGTGAAGTAACTCCAGTGTGTGTGAAAATGTAAAATGGCAAGGAAGCAGAAGACTCACCTGAGAAATATTTTCGTAAAGAAAGTTGTCATTGGAAGGGAAGGCTCGTGGTGAGCTGGCGCTCTGGTGTGGACGCTGTTCTGCCTCTGCTGGCTTTCCCTGAGGATGCCGGAGCTCAGGCTACAGGCCTGGTGTGATGGCTGCGCCGGGGACTCCTTCCTTGAGGGTGTGCTCCGGCTGTGCTGCTGCAGCACATCACCAGGCTCTCTGGTCCACACTGCACAGGGAGCCTTTTCTGCCTCACCTTCCCAGACCCTTCCGCACAGGTTTGGGGGACAGAGCTCCAGCATGTGGCCGACGTGGCTGTTTTTCCTCCTGCCTGTCCCATCCCCAGCGTGACCGGAGCCCAGCCGGTTCTAATGTTCCTTGCTCAAGCAGAGGAGGAGTGAGTCATGGGCAAGGCCCGAGCCGGCCCAGGTGCCGGGTTCCGTTTCTGCATTTGTTCTTTCAGCACAGAGCGTGCAGTAAGGACCTGAAGCCGTTCTTTCTCGGCTTTCACAGATAGGGGCCTCATGGGGCAGAGACAGCCTGAGCTGCCAGGTTCTCCCTTGGGCTCATTAACTGTTGACTCACAGTGCAAACCGACCCTCAGACACAGAAGGGCTAGTGCAAGTCAGAATGGTGTGGGTTCCTTTAAACCAAGAAGGCTTTTACGTCAGCTTGACACAAACCAGAGTCGTTCGGGAAGAGGAAACCTCATTTGAGGAACTGCCCTGTAGTGCTTTGAATGATAATGACCCCTCATGGGGGTTTGCCTGAGTGCTTGGCTCACATTGGTGGAACTGTTTGGGAAGGATTAGAAAGTGTTCCTTCCTAGAGGAAGTGTGTCATGGGCCACTTTGAGGTTCCGGAAGACTGGTGCATTCTCAGGGTGCCCACTCTGCCCCCTGCTTGTGGATCAAGATGTGAGCTCCCAGCCGATCCTGCCACCATGCCTTTGCTCTGTCATGGACTCTTAGCTATTTCTCCAAACCATATAAGCCCAATTAAATGGTTTTTGGTTTTGTTTTTGCTTTTGTTTTTAATAGTTGCCTTGGCTGTGGTGTTTTGTCACACAATAGAAAAGTAACTAATACACATCCCTGACAGACTGGGCAGGATTTCGGTGTATTTTCATAATTAGTGCTCAGTGTGGAAGGGCTCAGCTCATGGTGGGAGGTTCCACCCGGGCTGATAGTCCTGGGTGCTAGAAGAAAACAGGCTGAGCATGCCAGTCAGCAGCACTCCTCCCTGGCCTCCGCCTCAGTGCCTGCCTCTGGTTCTTGCCCTGACTTCCCTCGATCTGGACCACAGGATGTGAAATCAAATCAGCCCTTTCCTCCCCGTCTTGTTTTGTTCATGGGGTTTGTCACTGCGATATGAACCCCAGCTGGGACAGCCACACTTAAAGAGTGCTGTGCCTGTAAACAGGAGTTTAGGTAGTCGGAGCCTGCCAACCGAGTAGTGGGAAAACACTGAAAGCATTTGGTGTTGCCTTGGGGCATCATCAGTGTTGGATGCTGGAGGATTTTGGCGCCCAGACATGTTTCAGATAAGAGTGAGCCGCCGTGAGAGCTTTTCTGGATGAGGCTGAGCTGCAGGGATCTTCAGGATGTGTGACAGGAGGGGACAGGAATGTGGATGCCCGGCTCACACCTGGTGTGTGTGGTTGGAGAATCTGCTGGTAGGCTGCCGACTCGCCCACTTACCTGCTCCAGGTCTCTGTGCCTCCAGATGGTTGTGCTCATTCTGTCTGAAACGCTGTGTGAATGACCAGCCATTGGCAGAGATGGAAGAAGGAACGGAAGCATTCAAAAGGGAAGAAAGAGACGGTGCAGCCAGGACAGGACTGGATTAGCCGGCGTCTTGGGGACCGTGGGGCTACCAGCGATTTAAACCGCAGGTGGTGGCCTGCACGCGCCCCCGGTTTCCTTTCTCAGTCTTTGTTTCTGAGGAACATGGTTGTGTGCTGTCTGCTGGGGCTGCGGGGAGGAACTGGCACCCTTCGCAGCTGTGGTCAGGAGGAGCAGGGCTGCGTCTCAGAGGGGGTCCTGCTGACAGAGCCGCGCTAACCAGGTCAAGTTGAGGGGACCGGCAGGGTTGAGCGCTGGCTTTCGCGGCAGCCAAGTTCCAGGAGCTAAGAAATAGGGTTGGAGTCACTGCAGGCTGAAGGCCGGAAACGGCAAGATAGCACCGGCCCTGAGTGTCCCTCTGTAGCACGCGGCATGGAGGCCTCGGTCCTGAGGAAGAGTGTATGTGGAGTGTTAGGGCTGTGCCGTCCCTCAGGGCTTAGAGGCTGCACCCTGGTGCCAAGGGCAGGCAGCAGGGCAGGTCTGAGACCCTGGCGCCTGTTTGTAGAAAACAGGGTTTTGTTGTTGTTTTGTGACCATCCTTGGCCTTGAAGGTCACTCGGTGAGGGCTGGCAAGGGTAACGGCTTTGTGCTTGGTTTCAGGACGAGTTTGACAAGCTGCGGCCCCTCTGCTACACCAACTCGGACATCTTCCTGCTGTGCTTCAGCGTGGTCAGCCCCACCTCCTTCCAGAACGTCAGTGAGAAGTGGGTCCCCGAGATTCGCTGTCACTGCCCGAAGGCCCCCATCATCCTGGTCGGGACACAGTCGGACCTGAGAGAAGACGTCAAAGTGCTCATCGAACTGGACAAGTGCAAAGAGAAGCCGGTGCCCGAGGAGGCGGCCAGGCTGTGCGCAGAGGAGATCAAAGCCGCCTCCTACATCGAATGCTCAGCTTTGACACAGAAGAACCTCAAGGAGGTGTTTGATGCCGCCATCGTCGCTGGCATCCGGCACTCGGACTCCCAGCAACAGCCAAAGAAGTCTAAGAGCAGGACCCCAGAGAAGGTGCGGGACCTGTCCAAGTCCTGGTGGAGAAAGTACTGCTGCCTGGCCTGACCCTCGCAGATAGCTCAGGCTGCGACAGCTCTCCGGGATGGTTGGACACAGCCTCCAAGCACCTGCATCTGCCCTCAGCGTCCCTGTGAGCTTAGGGTTGAGATTCATATGCAAAATACATTAAAGAATTTTGGGAGTTAAGATTGGTTTTCCTCCTAACTCTGGGAACTCAGAGCTTTAGAACTCCAGGTTAATTTATATTTCACATGGAAAGGGCTCTTCTAAGCCGGGCGTCGGCATGAAGTCCTGCTGCATTGTACAGGACACAGGAGGGCATGACCTTCTCCTGATCAAGGGCTACTGAGTGTTCAGTGCACGGCACAGCAGACTCCGTGACAATTAAGCTCCAGCTCGGAAACCACACAAACCATACCTGTTTTTGTAAGAGAAAAAAAATGAAAACAAAATCTGAAAAAAGCGACAGGCTTCTGTCTACAAAACCTCATACCTGTCCCTTTTGTCACTCAGACTCACTTGCTTAAGGTCCTAAAACAACCAACACATCCCACTGGCCACTGGCCTTGTGTTGACGGAAAAGAATACTTGCCTTGTTTCGTTCTGTTTTGTTTTAATCACGTGACCAGTTGTGTTGCTGTGCAAGTGCCGGGTACAGACCTGCCGAGTTCTTCAGGGAGGGACTCCTGCTGAGATCAGATCACGCTCTTGGCTTTCAGGACTGGCCTGGGCATTGGGCGGTCTGTGTCCTGTGACGGAAGCAAGAGGAAGTTCTTGTCCAGGGGCTGTAAGCTGCCATGCTCACAGCACCTGGAGATGCCATAGTTGATGACTGTGTAATGGACACACACACACACACACACACACACACACACACACACAACGGCTGGTTTGCTAATGGAACTCTGAGACACACGAAAGCATGCTTGCAGGTTTCAGCAGGTATCTTCCTCTTCCTGACGTTTCTTTGAGCAGACATCATTTTGTAGAATCTTAATGTACACATTTTTGAGACCACCTTAAAAGACGGGATGAACGTACTTTTGAACCCTAGTGCCTTCAGGGTCCTGTGACCAGGGAGGCACTGGAAGGGACCAGGCATCTTACCCATCAGCATCTTCTTGCTGGGGCCATGCCTGTGGCCCTTGTCCTTTAAGGTGAGGGCCTTCCGACTGCTCTGAAACAGCCCTGTGTCAGGAAAGCTCACAGCATTGTAGCTATTTCCAGGATGCCATAGGGGCCAGACAACGAATCACAGCTCTAGTTTGCTGTGGGCAAGGCACCTCTCTGTGGCTACCTGGTAACAAAATTTTATTATCTATGAATTTTTTCTTAATATTTAAAAAAAAAAACAACCTTATGTTTTTCTATAGAAAAAAAAAAAAAAAACAGAAGTAAAAGATCAGGCTGTGCTTCAGGTCAAAGGCTTTTTTTTCCTGCTGGTAAACAGGACTGGAGACTTTCTTTAACAAAATGAAAAGGCTAATTGCTGAACCACCAGAATACATGGCCTGTGAATGGTATTAGCCGTTTGTTCCTGAGGTGTTTCATTGTGCCTCTGGTGGCAACACTGTTTCACTTGCAGACTGAGCTTACCCCACTGCTCAGCTTTCTAGAAAGCCAGCCTCCAGCTGACAGTGTGTACAGAGTGGTTGGAGAAGGGTGAGTTATTTAATTTTAAGTGTTTTAATAAAGCCAAGGAGATGAGCATTGAGAACACAAGCTTGAAGTTTTGTGCCAGGACTGTTGGGCCTCACACCCTGTGTCTGGGCTGCTGGGAAGTGGCTGGAGGGATGCTGTGTGATGGAGTTCTGGACACTGCCTTCCAGGATGCACCCTCCCGGACCGTCTATGCTGCAGCTCTAGTGGGTTTACTCGGACCTGCACATTTTCGATATGTTGCCACATCCTGTGGAGCCATAAGGTCTGACTGTACTTGAGGCTTCCCTGCATTTTTACTTTTTGAGAAGAAGAGATTTGGGCTGAGAAATCTGTAAAAGCATGCGCCTGTGTGAAATGTGAAGCTGGCCCTCTTCAAAGCTGAAAAGTGGCGGAATGTCCAGCCTGGTGTCTGGGGTGAGGGTGGGGGTTCTGTGGGCTGTGTGTGCAGCGATGCCTCCTGGGCCTGACTCTCGGTGTAGGCCGGCTTACCTGAAGAACACTGTCGCAGGCTCCCAAACCGTCACCTCGTCACTTGTGCAAGCAAACTGTCGATAACCTTGTTTTCTGCTCAGCAGGCATGTGAGCAACTACCCAGAAGTCTCCAGCCAAAAGGGGAGCCCGCTCCTCTGCAGGTGCCTTACCAACGTGTGCTTTTCCGTTTTCACATGTCAAAGATGTTGGGCAGAGTCTTGTACTTGAAAATGCTATAAACAAGTTGCTATGAAATAAATTCTGACCTGTGGACAAAACTCTTGCCTATTCTACCAGACACATGCCTTGGGCTAGACAGGTTAGGAAACATCTTTGCTTGTGTCTAGGAAAGTATCCAGTATCACATTTATTCAGTTTAGGGCCTTGTGGGAACTGGGTTCAGTCTAATGGATGGGGCCCTCTGCATTTTTTTCTTTTTTTTTTTTTTCCTTCAAGATAGAGTTTCTCTGTGTAGCCCTGGATGTCCTGGACCCACTTTGTAGACCAGGCTGGCCTCAAACTCCCAGAGATCTGCCTGCCTCTGCTTCCCCGAGTGCTGGGATTACAGGCATGAGCTACTGCACCCACTTCCCTCTGCATGTTTTGGGAAGGCCAAGCTACAGAGTCCAGACCTCAGTGGTGTTCAGTGAGGACAGAGCCCCGAGGGCCTGAGAGAGCTTCATGTGTGAATATTCTGCCTTTCTCTCTCCACAGGTCAGTACTTGGGGCTGCAAGTGGCGGCCAGGAAGGGAAGTAGCCAAGACCCCCTCTCCTGCAGTGGTGCAGCTGAAGCCCTGGTGCCTGGGTCCCAGGGTGCAAGAGCGCTGTTTGCGTCGTGATTCTGGACGGTGATCTCCTGGTGTTACGAGGGTGCTAAGGGAGGGAGGTCAGGGAAGGGACTGTTCTGCGTGGACAGACCTCATGCTGCTAGCGATATGACACCCATTGTAAACAACTTGAAAGGCTTCTTTTTCTTGTTCTCTTTCTTTCTTTCTTTCTTTCTTTCTTTCTTTCTTTCTTTCCTTCCTTCCTTCCTTCCTTCCTTCCTTCTTTCTTTCTTTCTTTCTTTCTTTCTTTCCCTCCTTCCTTCCTTCCATCCTTCCTTCCTTCCTTCCTTCCTTCCTTCCTTCCTTCCTTCTTTCTCTCTCTCTTTTTTTTTCTTTTTGAGACAGGGTTTCTCTGTGTAGCCTTGGCTGTCCTGGGCTCTCTCTGTAGACCAGGCTGGTCTTGAACTCACAGAGATCCACCTGCCTCTGCCTCCCTGAGTACTGGGATCACAGGCATGAGCCATTGCACCCAGGGAAGAATTTCTTTTGCACCAGGACTTCGGAGGTCACGATTTATTGTTGCTGACTTCATCCATCCTGGGCCTGGTGAGGCGGAAAGTCAAGGTGGAGGAGCCACAGCCACTCACCTTGTGGTCAGAAGGCAGAGTGGGAATGTGTGTCTTGGCAGCCTTCTTTTTCTGTTCCATCCAGGCCCCCAGCCTGTGAAACAATCAGACCCATATTCAGGAAGGGTCTTCCCCTCAGTCCTCATGGAAACCCCGAAAGTGTTCTTTACTAATTTTGACACTTCCCAACACAGCCAAAGGGGAAATCAAGATTCAAGATGTCACTGGGCTAGAAAAATGGCTCAGCGGTGAAGGGCATGCTGCTCCTCCAGAGGTCCCAAGTGAGGCTCCCAGCACCCACAACTCCAGCTGAGGGACCCTGACGCCCTCTTCTGGCCTCTGCAAGCACCTGCACTTATGTGTGCAAACTATACACAAACATACCTGCATCCACCTAATTAAAACCAAAATTTCAAAAATTATTGCAGTTACGTAGTAGCGTTAACTCATTCCCTGCTGTGCGGCAGCTGGCGGGCTGCGGCCTTTGTGAGAGCCAGCTGGACCCTCCACCGTGATGGCTGGGAAGAGTGCAGAAGGCGGTCAGGCCACCTCACATTCCTCATGTGGTCAGACAGCTGACGGTAGGCTTCATCGGCTACCTTCAGCATCAACATCAACCTCAGAGTGGTTAGCCTCCAAGCCCAGAGGGACCCGGCTCTCTTACTTGTCCTCTGGAACGTACTGACAGCATGTCCAACCCTTGGGGAGATGACAGGGCTGCTTCCCAACACATGACCTGGAAAAGAGAGGACAGTGAGAAACACCTGGAGAGCACTTTGTAAGCGCCAAGGAGATAGAAAGGGACCGAGGCCAACAGACTTGTTACATCCCGAGGCCAGGCTGACCAGGGCTAGCGCGCAGGAAGTGTGGTTGTGCAAGAGGCTGGGCTCGGGTGGACCGCTTCCTGCCTGGGGCCGTCCGACCCCTGCATGTAACCATAAGCATGGTCCCCACCCAGTGGACGAAGGAGAGGATGAACCTCACGAAGGTGAGATATTAGTGTGTGGCCAGGACTCTCTTCCCCACCGTGGACCTGTACAGCCATCCCCGTGATCCTCAGTAGCGCTTCACAGAGGTGGCTGCTGCTACTGGTTCCTGTCAGAGATTTTTGTCAACTTGACACGAGCTAGAGACACCTGGGAAGAGGGTCTTGCAACCGAGGAAGTGTCCTGAGTGCTTGTAGTGGGCATTTTCTCGTTTGCTGGCTGATGCGGGAGGTCCCAGCCCAGGGTGGGCAGTGCCACCCCTGATGTCAGCAGGTGGACCTGGGCAAGTAGAGGAGGCAAGGCAGCCCACAGCGCTCCTCTGTGGCCTCCGTGTCAGCTCCTGCCTCCGGTTCCTGTCCTGACTCCTCTCAGCGATGGACAGTGACCTGGGAGCATAAGCCAAAGAAGCCTTCCCCTTCCCAAGCTGCTTTTGGTCATGGTCATTGTCACAGTAGTAGAACGTAAACTAGACAGTTTCCATCTTCATAGGTTTACACTTTAAGGTTCACTTTTTAAAAATCTTTTTTTTTAATTATATGCATTGGTTTTCTGCCCACTTGTATGTGTGTGAAGGTGTCAGATCCCCCAGAACTATAGGAACTGTATCTTGTTTTTGGAATTCAAGAACTGATGTTACAGACAGTTGTGAGCCACCATGTGAACCTGGGTCCATTGGAAGAGTAATCAGTGCTCTTAACCACTGAGCCATTTTTTCCCAGCCCCTAAGAGTTCTATACTTACTTTTAAATTTCTGATTACTTTCTGTAAAGTCTTAGCATTGTGTAAGCATCTCCATGGTACCTGCATTTCCAGCTGGCTGTGGCACCTGGGGGACAGGCAGCAGAAGGAGCCTGAGACTCTTGTTCTCCTGCAAGGTCAGGCCTCCGAATTGTGCCACGCCCCGTGGACAGGCGTCCCCACACATGACTCTGTGGGGCCGCTCCTATTCAGACCGCCCCACCAGCCACACCGTCCTTACATGGAATCACACAACACGGATGCTTCTGCCTCACTCTCTGCCAGCGCTCCTGTCACTAAGGCACTGGGTGCCCTGGAGGTAGCTGGGGTGCTGGCCGCCTGAAGGCTAGCTGACGACAGTTCTGCTCCATGTGTGTTTGCCCACGGGACCTGTTTGGTCACAGGATCTAGTTTCAGGGGTAGACATTTGGGAGCCTCCCTTTTGCCCCGCCCCACTCCCAGCCCTCTCTGCCCACGTAACTCCACAGAGGGTCCACTGGCTGCTGTACTGTTCAGAAGCAGGTGAGCAGCACTTGGTGCTGGCTTCTCACTCTTTGGGTTTCTTCCCACAAATTATGTGTGAAGGGAAATTTTACACTACACCACCCCTACTCAGCAATCGCAAAGTAAAACTGAAAAGGAGTAAAGGGTAGTACTCTGTGTGAGAGAGACAGACAGACAGACAGAAGACAGAGAGACAGAGAGGACAGAGAGAGGCAGAAAGACAGACAAAGAGAGAGGGGGAAGAGGAGAGAAACAGACAATGTGAGAGGCAGGACAGAGGGAAAGACAGAGAGATGGAGGAGGAGATTATTCCTCTCTGGACTTGGAAAGAACAAGCCTGGCTCCTGCCTGCATCCCTCTGCTTCCTCCTGGCTATGTAATATCACTTTTACACAAGCTCCTGCTACAATACCACATCATCCTTCAGTAAAGTAGCCAGGGTGTTCTCTCTCAAGCCAAGCAGCTGTGAACAATGCTCAGACTCCTAGAGCTGTTGGTGAAATGAATCTCTCTCTTTTCACAAGTTATTAGCCTCAGTCATTTTGTTACAGCAGAGCAGAAGACAAATGAGCTCACTGCAAGGCAGCTGTTGGAGTCACACACGACAATTCAGCTCAATTCGGTTTCCTCTCTCTTTTTTTTTTTGATCTATTTATTTTATTTCATATGCATGAATGTTTTTACCTCCATGTATGCGCATGCACAGCATGCGTGCCTGCTGCCTGTGGAGCTCGGAGATGGCACACAAACCAGAGTTACAGATGGTTGCAGGCCACTCTGGGGTGCTGGGAACCGAACCCAGGTCCTCCGCCAGAGCAGGCCTATTCCTATCTGCTGAGCCTTCGCTCCAGTCCTGACAGTTCCCTTTCTGTCCTCGTGAAGCGATAGCCATAGACAACGTCTTCTTGAACAGTATGAACTTCCCCACACGTGGCTGAGATGCCCAGGGCATGGCT